ACAGGGGATTGAAACACAGACTCAAAGCACCAACTACAGTTTAATTTGTATTTGAGGTGATACAGTGAATTCATCATAGAGTAACTCAGGAATTAACATTAACTAACAAAAAGGAATTTGACCTATTGATACTGTTGATCTGCTTAAAAAAAAATCCTTGGACATCACTACCAGCTGAGCAGGTATTCTCCGATGTGGGTCTCAATTATGTGGACACTTTGCTATTTGAATTAAAAGGAGCAGAAAAGCTGTCTGCTGAAGACTGAGTTGGCCTAGACTCATACTGAGGGTTATTATTGTTATTGCCCTCTAAACGTTTCCGCAGTTTACTCTCTTGTGCATTGGAGTGACATTTTGCCATTACTAGAACATGCACAGATAAAGCGGAAAGTTACCCTGACGTCTACTTGCCTAGGACACTAAAAACTATGGATGTTTTAACGCCCACTCACCTGAAGCAACGGGATTTCCTGACTGTGACTGGTCGGTTAATGGTTGATAATCACTTAACAAGCACTGGTGAGAAAATGCCATGTATCAGGGTATCATTTTTACTTTTGTTAAAATAACCACAAAACAGCGACAGGGCCAGTGGTCTTACTTTTCCATCTCAGACAGGTGGAGACTCGACAGCTGACAGAGGTGTGAGGTCACTGAACAACAAGGAACCTGCAGACTGACAGCACTCAGCTAATGAGACAAGCTGTTTGGGAGGAGTTTCTTTTTTTTACAAACATGCTGTGACACGAAAGGCAGGACTCTGACTCATCCTGGGTCCAGGTATAATGTCAACAGGAGGACAATGACAGGAGGACATTCACATCGATTCAAGGTCTGTCACAGATGACTGAGCACATTGGAGGGGAAGGAAAGGAACATTTCTTGAATCCAAAGAAACTAGCTCATGACAGTGCCAGCCACAGGTTTATAATCAAGATTAATGAAAGACACAATCAGAAAACTGAAATCAGAAAATAAGAATAAAGTACTTTTAAAGTCATATTCTTGTGAAGAAACTGCAGCAGCAAAGTCCCGCTCTTCAGTGAAAGATAGACTGCACATCAATTTATAGCACATTGGCCCTAAAATCAATTCACTTTACTATTCACAGTCAATTCTCTCAGCTGCTTAGTATTCAGTACCTACGCTAAACCCTAATCTAAACTGGTTTGATTAGGTTCGAACTCCATGAAAAGACTGCATCTTAAAAGTATCTAGATATACTTTTAAGGTCTCTATCCAAATTCAATCTCAAAAAGGTATTTCAACAAGAAATCTACTCTCGAAAATTCATTCTCTCACCTGAAGTCTTTATCACTTTAATACTATCTGGACTCCTCAGAGTCGCTGGGTGGTGGCCTGGGGTTAACTGGAGATATCAATCTTATGAGGGGGAAACTTTATTCAGTTTAAGCTCTAATCTCTTTATAGGGATGATAAACGAGCGAGGGATATTAGATATTCTGTGAAAGGAAAAGACAATTAACAGCATCTAATATCCTTTAGAAAATTGTGAATATTAAATTTGGATATATTATGAGTCAAAATAAATTACAGTAAGCTCTGCAAATGTTAAGCTTGTTCTAAAAGGCTATACAAGTTATAGTATCTGGCAATTAAAATAAGCTTCATAAGTTTAACATCACATTTAAAACCATCAGTTCTATTCAGTACTGAGGATTCATCGTCAAGGAAAGTATAAAAACACAATTTTACAAAAAGAGTAGCTTTGTATTTGCTGGAATTAAAAACAACAAGGTTTGACTTAGAGCTTCCTGACTTTTTAAGCACATTTTCTATGGAAATTGCAAATATCACGATCAGCTCTCGATGGCCTCCAACACTCAATCCTTTAAAGCTCAGAGGAATATGAATTTCTACATTTTGCCAAATTGCCAGTTTCCACCTTGTGTTCACTGAGCAAGAAAATGACCTGGAATCCCAGAATTCACTTTATTCCCAATTCCCTGAAAAGAACCACACAGATTTCTAAGCTTTGCAATGTGTGTGTGTATTTAATGTGCTGTGTCAGCAAGCCTCAAATCATATTACACAAGTGCAATACACTGAGAAAACAAACTAATCTCCTTGTTGGCACATTGTTAAATTGATACAAGAGCTTATTTGACAGCCCTTGCCATGATTTTGATTGTTTTTCTTGTTGTCTTTATTTGTCCTTCCTGAAGCACTTTAATATGGCAGTTTCAAAAGGTGCTATATAAATGGTTATTAATGTTTTGACTGGGTCAGTGAACCTGTGTGTGCAGGAGTTGAAAGCACACACATCATTCAGTACACGGTGGACACAGGCACAATCAGACTGGGGAACAGGATTTCATGAGCTGCGGGTAAAATCTGGAGAATTGTTCCTACTGATGTCAGACAATGATTTGATACACCAGGTATTCTTGGAGATTTCTATGGAAGGTTTAAAATGCCCACAAATGTCTGCAAACATTTGGAGTGAAGCTGGTTTCCTGGTTACTGTAGCAGCTACTCTTGTTCTAGTATTTCTTGACAATATCTCAAACTGATCGTTTTGGTTTTGGTATGCACCATCAATATCAGGCCACTGGGGTGCCCTTGGTAATGGTTTATATGACGATGGCGGACTTACTAGGCTGTCTTCAGCTTGACTTAGACACGAAAAGCTGCATTCAGGGTTTATGCCCCCAGGCTGTGACTGGACATTTGATTGCTTTCATTTTGGCATCGAAGATTCAGAAGAAAAAAGGTTCCTTAAACATCCACAGCTCCTCATGAGAGCTACTCTATTTTTGATATTGAGATTTGACGTAAAGTCTGCGTGAATAATCTGTGGTACAACAAAAAGCAATTAATATAAAAATTGACAAAAAAGACAAAAAAGCAAGACGGAAAGACGAAAAACAAAATAATTGTCTTTTTACATATTAATGTACATCTTTTCTGTACTGGTTATTCCGCAAAATAAAAGTTTTCCTATCAGCACACATCGGCAAACCTAAACACACAACAGGTACCGACATGTCTTTGAAGGCCCCATGTGGGTCAGGCTCTCATGGGATTAGAGCATGTACTGTAACTGAAGGGGCCTGGTTCACATCAGATGTATGCCAACAAATGAAGTTAGTGGAATTGCCTAAAGACGAAGCAAGTATTACTGCAACCCAGAAACTCCACTATAAACTGCAGAAAAGGCACAACAGAATTTCACTAAATTGAGAATTATTTTCTGCTCAAGATATAATTTGTCATTCAAGTCCATTCAACCTACACAAGAGGGAAATTCCAAACAGAAATTATCTGGTTGTCCTGGAGAACAAATTCTACGACACAAAAGGGGGTCTTTGTAAGATAATTGGACAAGTGGAGGAAGCAAAAGGAATAAACGAACCTATCTGGTGAGAAAATGGTGGCATGAATGTGTAAGTGTCAGAGATGAAAAACAGCAGCCTAGCAACAGACAAAAGCCATCATACAACTCCAGTCTGTGACTGAAATATCCCCAAATGGAATTTCTGCTCGATATGCCATGCAGCGGAGGTTTGTGCTGCTATGAATTAATGAGACAGATTCCAGTTTTCCTCTTCTCATGTCCCATACAACAGAGATATGACTGTATGGGGAGCAGATGGCCGCCGCACAACACAATAGCACAGTCAGAAACCAGACATGGTCCCCATGACTTCATTTCTTCAGTATCTTCATCAACATGAACCCCCCAAAGAGTAGGGGTGTAAAGGTTTTAGAGGAGTGGGTAGCACAGGGTTAGATCAGAGATAACCAAACCATTCATACCAAGAATTTTACTAAGTAAAAAACACACAGATATCAGTGTTGGCAGAGGAAGATGAGAAATGTCTCAAACTTCACCCCCTCCCTATACTTTGATCATTTGTGAATGTGCAGTGCCAACATTGCTGACTGATCTTGGCCCAAGCAGAACATGAAATTAATGTGCTCTGACCTCCCACAGACTGGTATTAGGGCACAAGTGCAAGCCTTAGAGGAGGGCTGAACGGCTATTCAGAGGATAAAAGCTCTGCTGTCCTCACACTGCGAACGGCACACTGCCATAACTGGAGCTGTGATTATTTATCATATGACAAATTCAAGGCAAAACACAAAACATATTCTCATGTCAAATGAAACAGTGATAAAGCATTTTACTATTACTATTATCAAGCAAATTACAGCAATGTCTGGAGCTAAGCTAAGTCCAATAATATCTATGAAATCATGTCTGTTCCTTTGCTTACAAGCTCAAACAATGAAGACTTACATAAGGAGTGTATTGAAATACTTGACTCCACTGCCATCTATTCATATGAAATGTGTATTATGTAAGGCAGACATAGAAAGAGGCAATAATGATCAGCTGAGGAATAATACACACAAAGGCTCAGGCAGCAGAGATTCATGGCCAAGGCTTGTTTGACCAATCAGTGAAACCCAGTAGTTCAAAATGCTCCTTTCTAATATCAATGAATAGTTTAGCCACGTTTAAAAACCCAAATATACCCGCTGATATTGGTGTAAAGACAGTTCCTGTTTCTTGGATACGAGAATTTTGTATTTTTCACAAAGCACCAACTTCTAAGGGGCCAGTATTGACATTTAGAACCAGTTTCTATTGTCGAAATGAAATAAAAAATCCTGGGTTCCAAAAAAGGTTCCCAGGTCTCTGAACGGACTAAATTAAATTCATTCAGACAGGTTTGTTGACTGTGGCATATGGGTTTTCATGCCTGACTCTGTGGGGGCACATTTCCCTACTCTACCCTAAGAACGCACCTTCTTTAAGACACCAGCCCGAGTTTATTTCAGCTGCTCCTGCTTTATCGCGTCACCTGCGATAAATCTGCCCATTAAAGAACTGCTGCTCTGAAAAACAGTTACCACATACAACATTTTTGTGTCTGCTCTGTGAGAAGCAGAAACTGGATTTGACTGGGCCACACCTGTGGAAGAAATGGAGAGAAGAAAGGGCGTTGGAAATGTTAAAGAAAATAGAGTGTTCACCTCACCTTTCTTGATGCATGGATGTCAAAGAAGGGCTTATTCCGGACACTGAAAGGTTCCTTGGTTTTGTCGATCTGTCCGGTCTTCATCTTTTCCATCCGGGGAGAGATTATCTCCTTTTCTATGCATAGCAGACGAATGTTGAAATCACACTGGCCAACAGGCTGCCCCTGAAACACAGGATCAAACATTTGTTAATGTACCCTGAGAATGTAACCGATTGAAACATGTAGGTGTTCATACAAGCTTCAGCAGAGTCTACGTCCATTTTTATAAGCAGTCATATGAGAATATGTCAACTTTGGAAAATGATGTACGTCTTTCCAGTATTTTCTGCCAGTATGTGAATCTGACAATAAATTAATTTGCCAGGCAGATAATAAATAAAGGCCTAACTGGTACCAAAAATAACATCCAGCTTTAGATCATTTATTGCTACACCATAGGTGAGCAGTACAGCAGGCAATGGAAAACAAGACCTCAGCATCAGTGGAGCCTATGGGAATATAATTACACAGCACAGTGGAATTAGTTTCTTTGTCACTATGACAACCACTTCTGCCCATGATTGGCCAGACATGCACAGTTGAGCACAGCTACCGGAGCCCCATCACTGCCTCTCGAACAGACAGGGCCACTAAGGCAGAGCAAAGGGGGCATCAAACCCATCTGGTGAACCACAGAGACTGAGGCAGAGGGAAAAAAACACAATGAAAACAAAACTTCAGTTCCCCGCCCCCGGGCTATTGATAAAGAAGCTCAGAACAAAATGAGAGCAGCCAAGCGACACAGCCAAACATGACTGTATGACCACTTGAAAGTGTTTAACGGTGCAGAGGAGTTGTGATGAAACCACCCTAGTGCCGCACGGTCAAACCACCACTTATCTCCACTGCTAAACTGACAAAAGTGATTAAACGCAATGACTCACTGGTTTCACTTTTGTCGGCACAAAAAAAAGAAATTCACTGACAGAATTAGGATGGTCAGAGTAGAATAGAGTTCTGAAACTCTGCCACATGGACTGTTCGCATGACAACAATTTGACATTTAATATTTCTCACAAGTTATTAGAGAGAAAGAAAAAGCTCAAACTCGGCAAACAAGCTGACATTTCTTTATTGCCAAGACAGATATTTTACGTCACCTGGATAAGTCGAGCAGAAAAGATCATTTTAAAATAACTTCTAACATATACTTCCTGACAGCTTTAATCTATCGAACACAACAGTATCCTCAGCATAGTCAATTTGGGAAAGTGTTCACTCAATTTATGGTTGTTTTCTTATGGAGGCCCCCAGGGTGTTATTTTACTACTCCTGATTTTGACATTAGCAGCTATGTTTTGTTTGTCTGATAATGAATCTCTTAATATCCAAAGCCCTTTTATTCACTGTAAAGTGTGTGTTATCTTTAACACTTTAGAATTATATAAAATAAAGGTACACATGTATATGTGGTGAAACATTTACAGCTGTATTGTTCTTACACCAGAGGGTTGTGGATCAATACAACTTAATCTATATTGAGAGGCATCGAGCAGGATGGTGTGACTGGGGGGAATTTGTATTCTGCTTCTGTTACTGTTTGGTAAAGGCCATGTCTCCTCTCCAGAGCTTTCTATGGGAATACTGGAGATGTGGGTAGGAAAAGATTCTTGTTCTATGTGAATGAGATGGTGGATGAACAATAATGAGTTAAGATTAATTGCAATTACAAGACTGTATTGTCTTGTGAGTCATAAAGATCACCAAAAAGAAAATTAGATCAGAGGATTTCATCTTTTGTGAGCAAGTACAATAAAAAATCTGTTCAAATAATTGCTTCTTTATATGCAATAGGGTCCAATCATCAGACTGCATAACCAGAAAAAATACTGTTTAGCCAGCTATGTGTAGTGATGTTTGGAGATAAAAACCAAATCATTACTTTTATAACACGGTAGAAAGCACGACTGCTTTGTTTTTCATAAGGAGGTATGATTCTATTTTGTGCTCATTATTTCTACAGAATACAGAGAAGTATTTAAATCAAAGAAAATATGAAATACACACTTTGTCTCATATCCAAGGTTCACAATTAGAACTGCATGTGGTAAAGTTAGTTGATCTCAGGGAAATTAATCAAAGACTATTTTGATAATCAATTAAGCTTTTAGCTGGTTTAAATGTGAAAACACAAAATATTCTCGACTTCTCAGAGAATAATTAATGGATCATAATGAAAAATAACAGGCCTGTTTTGAATCTGGAATTTAAATGTGGTTCATAAGGGGCCTGTTGGGCCTTGGCAGAGGTATGTCCCATTGAGTGAGCGCCAGTCTGGTATTCACTGAAAATCTTTGTTTGACCAAAGTCAATCAGTTGGTAAATCAAAAATTAAATGAATCAAACTATCAGAAACTTAAATTAAAATTATTATTATTTTTTATTTTATTTTATTTTTTTAAATTGCAGCCGTTGGTAAATGAAAACCAAAAATGTAGGAGATGGTGATTGAAAATGGGTAAAAAAAAAAAAAACTGATACTGGCAGCCTGCTAAGTGGGCACTTGTTTGCCAATGCATAAGCTTGATAATGGAGCGGTATGCTGTGACTGTGTCTCCACGACTCTGCTTCAGTCTGTCTGTCTTGTGTAATGCATCCCTAACATCTCCGTATGGGCAATCCATCGATCACAAATAAGGTCACAGGCAAAACAGAGTTTCAGCTCTCGTTGAGGCTTTACTTAAATGACTGCAGAAACCACACAGCATTCTCCTGGAGCAACAGCTGGTATCATGTCCCACACATTCTGCACCATCTGTCAGCTGTGTCACCAGGACAGAACGAAATGTAAGTGTGGATGATTCAAGGCAAGTGCTGCCCATGCCTGCTCATTGGGGAAAACGCAGCAGATATGAGGCTTGTTCATTTAACATTTGTGGGAATACAGACTGATTATTACACCTATGAAATCAGATCGGTTTTTAACTCCAACAAGGATGTTATGTTTTCCCTGTCCACTTGTTTGGTTGTTTGCCAGCAGGATTACACAAATCTCCAAAAAGGATGTCCACAAAACTTTGTGGAAGGATGAGACAAACACCAAGAAAGAACTCCTCGAATTTTGGCAAAGAACCATACAAAGAGGCAGATCCAGGAATTGTTAATTACTTTTTTTTTTTAACATTCCAAGATAAGGCTTTTTCCATTTTAACAGATTTCCCAGGGGAAAATTAATGGATCTTGATGGGGAAAAAACAGGCCTGTTAAGGGGACTGATATCTATGAATGTGTGCAATTTGGTGCAGCTTGATTGAATTTAAGGGGACTTTTGGACCTGGGTGGCAGCGTCCGCTCTAAGGGATAATGTGTCTCGATAGCTTTTGGCTGCTATTTGTTCTGCTCAATATTCACTTACTATCATCACTGTGAGGTTTTTTTGCATACTGCTCAGCAAGAAATTGCTGATGCCAAAATTTAAAATAATACATATAAGTGTGTATTTATACATTAACTTCTATATATTCTTTAAATATTATTGATTAATACAAAACAATTAATCCACAGATGCATTTATCACGAATGGATAAGAAAAACTTAACTGATTGAGCCGAGTCCAACATGAAGCAGTTCAATGCATTACATAACACACTTTAAGGTTATGTTGTGGAGAATGCATAAAAAAAATCTATATATAAACACACATTAAATATGAAAGATGACAGAGATGGAGAATCAGAATTATTCACCATGAGACTCGAGCATCAACTGAAGAATATGGCAACATCTGTAAAGGATCAATTATCGGTCTGACTGAATATGAGATATTCTGTGTTTTTACAATAATAAATAATATTATACACTGCGACCAGTGAACAGAAGCTCAATGTGTAGTTTCCCCTCAGGATTTGAGAAAGAAAAACCAAATGTTGGCTTTAAAGCTGTTTTGGCCTAAAACTGTTTATAAATCACACGTCCTTTTAATGTGATTGCATCACACAAGACATATTCTTAATTAAAATAAAAAGCAGATTTTATATTTAGTCTCTGAGGTAATTGTTTATTGCGAGTACTCTGCTTGTATTGTAACTGGGGTGAGAATTGGCTTAATTTTAAGAATTCCTAAAAAGTGTGGTGTGTGGCAGTCAGATTAATGCATGAAAAGAGAAGAACATTTAAGTGGAGTTCTAAAGAGTGAATATGGGAGCAAATAACCTGCCTGCAACTTTATTTGACCGCCATCTATCAACATTAAGAGCAGGGTTCCCTCTCTCTCCATTTGTCTGGCTTTGGGTGACGGTTTGTGTCTAAAACTCTAGACTGAAAGGCTGTAGGCCCCATTTAATGACAACAGTCTATCTGGTTATTATGTAATAGCCCCCGAGGCCTTTTGTTTCTGCTCCTTTATGAGTCACTTTAATGAGGAGATGGGCTAAGAAATGGTTCTGAACCAGACAAAAAAAAGTGTTGTTACATCACTACAGCACGGTTAAAAGGTTGGAAAAATAATTTACTATTTGGTTATCAAATAGAAAAGCATTACTGCCTCCCTGGCCGCAGTTTACTATAATTATCCTCACAATAATCACTTATTTCTTTAATCAATGTCCACATGTTCAACCACATGTTCAACATGGAAATGAAGGTGGAGGCTGATGTGGACAATCACAGGCAGGATGTGGATTGAAGAGTGATTTATGACTAAATTTAAGCAACTGCGGTTTTAGTCACAGTTTGCCACAGCTAGACGCCAACGAAACCTCAGCACTAGAACTGCAGGAGCACAAACTCGAACTGTGCACTACATGATGGCAAACTCCTGGTGAACTGTGACTTCAGAGGAGCTACAGTGCATCATCAGAGTGACGCTGCTGGTGGTTTAAAAAGAGTGACGCAGCCCAGGGACTATTCATAGTCCTGCAGAGCTACAGACAAAACTTCTCTAGCAGAATTAAACTGAACTGATTTAAGAGAAACAGTCGCAAAAAAAAAAAGAAAGGTTTTTACTCTGACACACACTGAAGTCCGGACAGGGTTAAGGTTATATACTGTATATATCTTGCATACATCATGAACCACCCCTGAATATTACGTTTTATGTGTCTGATGTGAACAATCTGCTGTCGTGTTCTTAATTTAAAAGACATGAACAGAAAAGTTCTGGACCAGAATGAAAGATAGAAAGGTCAATCCAAGTGTCAGGACATAGCCGGTGACATCAAACTCAAACTACCTCCGTTTTATTTCAAGATAATATCTTTCTACAAGAACTTGAAAATTAGGGACAAGTATATAATTGTTGCTGTGCTTTCATCACATCACATAAGTTCCCCCACAGTGAAGGAACTGACAGTGACTGACAAGCAGGAAACAAAAAAAGCTTTTTTGGTTGCTTTGCAGAAGGAGCAGAAATAGAAACTTCCCTCCGTGTGTCGGGGTGATTGTCAGGGTGAATCACTTCTTCTTTTGGAGAGATACTGTACACATCAGCACTCCAAAGTTAAAAGTAACTCATTAATTTAAAAAAAACATAGTAAGTAAAGTAAAGTTTAGCTGCTTTTAGACATGCACTGAACTCCAGATAATCTCCTTACATTCTCTGGAGGGGCTGTATGTGAGAGGCAGCAGACTTGCTCCAGTAAGAACTGGAAAACGTGCCACATGTATTCGAAGACACAAAGATTGTCGTTTACGTGTGGAAGCACTGAATCTCCTGCTGCGTTGTTCAAATGTGACAGGCAAACTCCACAGAAAGTCTGGACTCAATGCGCAGCGTCCATGTCTGAAACCCGGCTCTAGATTACCCATCACGGCAAAAGGCACACACTCCTTATTACACACTAATCAAAAGCATACTAGTAATGTGTTAGGCCCTGACTTTCCAAACAAGTGAGGTGTCACGTAAGGCCATGGGCCTGGCAGGAGGCGCCCTCTCGCTCCTGCAGCATTTACATCCTCTATCTCAGGATGGAGCCTCTGTGCCAAGGAGCAGCCCAGCACATATAATGGTGGAGGCTAATAATGGCCAGCGAGGATCAATACAATAGCGCTTTGGAGATGGCTCAGGGGGAGGGAGGGTGCTGTGGTGCATGTGGAGCTGCTAACCTCTGCACCATCTTACAAAGACGTTCCCCTCGCCACTGGAGACTTTATTGAGCCGCTTGCTTGTGTGATCCTCTGATCGATGGAGAAAAGGAGGCGACAGACAAACATAATGGCTGGAGTAACCGCCCCTCACCCGCTGCCCACACTGGCCCCACATCCCGAGGTATTCATCAGGTTTTTATAAGGAAGAAGGCAGAGTCTCGCTTAGGGCAAAGTGTAGGCTCATTTGTCTCGGTGCCTGCCTGCATTACCATTAGCAGCACGCAGATTGGTTGAAGGGATGAATTAATTTACAGTTGAGAAGAGTGTTAGCAGTTAACAACCTTGTAATGTTGTCCTTGGGCTGTGCAAGAAAAATGGCCGAAGCACAATGACGCGAGAAGAGAAATTTGTCATTTTATTATTTTATATACAAAAGAAAATGTTATACACACACAGGAGGCACCTGAGCAGTTACTACTGGCAAATTATAATGCACAGTGATGGACTGATCATATGGTTTAATTCAATGCAGTGACTGAGGTGAGAGAATGTGAAAGGTTTGAATCAATATTTAATCTTATTTTAGTTCTAAGCGATTGTCATTAAAATAGGTCAGCCAAGCTAGAGAAAACCAGTTTCTGAGGTAAAAACTTCAAAAACTTAGCTCATAAATATTCAGTATGAGTCGCACTCAGTTCAAACTCAATGTTGTGGTCAAGCCCAGTGTGTGACAGGGCGTGAGGGTCAAGCAAAGTCGTGCTCTTTGCTCGAGCATCAAGACTGACAAAGCGCTGACGTGCCTGTGCACATGCTGCAGAGCCTGGATGAGCACCACTCGGCTGCCTTGAAGAAACCTAACCAGCTCCTATAAGGTGCTGTTTGTTTATTCTGTCTGAGATCTTGATCTGGCACATTTTCCGAGGGGACAGGTCAAGGAAAGACAAGAAATTCTCAAACGGCCAGGGTACTTACATTGAATTTGATGATGTCGTATATCAAATAGCGGGGGACGGGCTGACCGTTCACCTTGTCGATGATCATCTCCTGCATAGATAAAGACAAGGGTCCAGTCAGGAGAGGGGAACAGAGAAAAAAGAGAGACAAAGAGACACACACCTCGTAAATGAGATGAAGATTAATGATGGGATTGGAGAAGATGTACAAAAACTACAGAAAGAGTCTGGGCGCTCTTAACATCACAGCAAGTGGAAAATGGTTTCTGTGCAGTCGTTATGTAGGATGGGACACTGGGGGGTGCACATTCTCAAGTGGATGTATGTTCAGAGAGGGAGATGCCTGCGGCAATGGGAAGGATAGCAGGGAGTTGGGGATGTGCATGTGTGTGTGTGTGTGTGTGTGTGTGCGTGGAAGGACATGAAACAGAAATAGCACTGCACATCCATTATGTAAGACTCAAGTTGAGAGTCAGGTGCAGCGGTGGTGCAGGACACCAGACAGACACATGATTAGTTTTCAAAGAACTGTTACACAACCACGCAACATTATGACCTCAGAGACGAGTGTGTAAACGTCACCACTGGTCAAGTATCCGAAGTGAAAGTACGACCTGATACTTCAGTTGGTATAATTGGAGAGTGAATCACTACAGTTAGAAAACTATATTTATTACCTTCACCCTCATTAAATATTCAAGTGACGAGCTGCACTCTCCTGCCGTAACTGACGGGCAGAGGACGAGCAGGTAAGACGTCATTCAAGGATTCAGTTTTACACAAAAACGGTACTAAATAGGTTTATATCCATTCTGGCCACCGACTAGAGCCGGGCGATATGACTTCTATTCAATATCATGATTATTTCAAATGTCTATCTTGATTACGATCACTGGACAATTAATTAATTGTCTGAGAAAGACTGCGCAGTAGTCATCTTAGTGTGGAGCTGCGTTATCGAGGTCCGACCAGTACACAAGCTTGACCGATCGTAAGCAAGTTTCAGCTGTCAATCATGATGATATATCCTGTTTTTATAACATTAAATAACTCATTACACCAAACTTGTCAGAAACACTGCCCATGTCCTATCTGCTAACATGGAGGAGGCAGTTTTTATGACCTCTCATCCGGCTATCATGGCCGATGATGATGCTTGCTCCGGAGTTTTGACTTTGGGTGCTGCCATGGCATCCATCGTTTGCATACAGTCTACGGTCTCAATGGTCATCCACATAAAAACTGTTCGGTGCTACTGCTGCATGTGTCTGTTTCCAAAGTGATAAAACCTGATAATGACTCCGTGAGTCAGGTCTAAACCATACACAACACTAAACTGCTGCAGCCAGACAGGTGGCGATGAGAGGGGGAGTAAATGGGAGGCATGTAGAGCACTTGGGGAGAGGCTGGAGGGAAAAAATTATAACATTCCAGGAGGCTGCCTTCCTGTATGCATCTGGTGCTCTGAACTGTTGCACGGGAATACAGCAGCAGATGAATGCATTAGTGTGACCAAAGGAAACTGCCAGGAATTCAATCTACACTACACATTCATCCAATATTGGACCACAAGCTGATGTAAAGCTCATTGAGAACTGCACAAGAAGATAGCATAAGACAAAGACCAGTGCCTTTGGGCTATAGATGAAACATATCAGACGACACAGCTAGGCTCCTACAGGGCTCGCCGATAACAGCCAAACAGTCTCTCTGAACTGAGAGCCAGAAGCATCAACAGATAAATAAACACAAGTCAAAACAAAGCTTGTAGCAATTTATACGCACAGCTCCTCCAAACGGAGCAATAATACGCTGCAATTAGATGTCCTGCCCAAGTGAGGAAACTAAATTCACTGCATCAATCCTCAGCTGTTCAGCCAATCGGCCTATTAAAGGTAAACTGCTCAGCAAAAACAATGAAAGGCAACTTATCTGCTATCAACAGCACTGGAATACCAAACACAAACACAGTGCCAGATATTTATTAAATCTTATCTGAGTACATGAAAATGCAGCAATGTCTTATCCTTGCCAACAATTTCAGTTATAGAGAATGTAACAATGACGCATGCATGTGCACCTGCTGCTGAGGGGACCTGTAGGGACCTTTGAGACCTGAACCGCAAAAACACGCCGATAAAAGCCTTAGCCTGGTATTACAGGGTACGGATAAGTCACCAATCCCTGGTGTCACCCCAGGGAGCTTAATGCTGAGAGTAAGAGCACAACACAGAGCCGAACAAAGAGGCAACAGCGCCAGAAGACTGTAAAGCATTTTACTAGCTATTTCTCCATGGCATGGAAGATCACTTTAACATCAGCCGACTTTGACGGGCTCTGCCCACAGACCGAGACGAGCTCTTCTTTCACCTAAAGTTTGGCGACTGATGTCAATTACCTGCAAGACTGAGCAGCTGGAGCAGAATTCGGAATGTTACAAAGTTGGAGATGGAGGGGTCATGCAATTCCAGTCAAGAGAAGAACAGGTCGACTTATGTGATTGTCAGCAAAGTTTTAGGAATAGCTAACGTGACACAATGTGGAACATTTCAAAATAAAACTAGAAGCTAGGACAATAACTCACCCCATCCAATAGAGTATTTGATAAGTGGACGCGTGGATCCTTCCGGAATGGAAACTCTAGGTTTGCTATGTGGAACACTGTGTTGTCTCTGTCGATCATGAACACTTCATTTTTTCCATTGATCAACATCATGTACCTGCAGGAAGAGAGGATGAAATGTTATGCAGCTGTAATCACAGTGTTATATTTGTGCTGCTCATAATTAAAATGTTATCTTTTGTTTTTGAGTCATTGCTTAAAACATTAAAACAGATAAAGTAAGAATTTGGTGGTGAGAATGATTTTATCTAAGACATGACCTCAGCTGTTGCCCCTTCATTATCTAATAAATCTCAGACCGTGTGAATAGAGCTGGTGATTGTTTGCTGAGAGAAAGACCCACAAAAAGGGATTTAATAGTATATTCTGTGAACTGTGGCACAGCAGATCTGTAATGCAGAAACTGTTCATTTACAATGAGGCGGTGATAATAATGGTTGCTTGTTAAGAGATTCAGATATTGTGACATTTACAACACACAAGGTTAGAATGCGCTCTCTGAGGGCAGCCTGATAGCTGATTAGTTCGGGTGCATAAAATGTGAATGTAATTGCCCTGAGCAGCAACCATTTGCTGAAGGTCATTCCCCTTCTCTCTTTTCCCACATTACTGTCAATTTAAGTCACATGTATTTATACAGTACATTAACAACAGGAGTTGCAGCAAAGTGCTTAACAATCAAAACAACATTAGTATGGAGAATAGAATTGAAAACAATGCAAAAGAATGTCGTAAAAGACAAAGATAGATAGAAGATAAAAAGATTAAATAATGATAACAGAATCATAATACAGAGGCTGAAATAAAAGCAAGATTAAACAGATAAAACTTTAATTTGGATAAATTATTGATAGAGGGACAGGATCTAATATGGGAAAAGGGAATATTCCAGAGCTTGGAGGCAGCAACAGAGAAACCCAGTCTGTCTTTCCATTCTCTAGTTAATAAAGACAGTGTGCACTGAGGACTGATGCTACTTCGCAAGTATTGTTTTAAAACGAGACAGGTCAGGGTTATTGACTTTCCTTTCCAAAGTCTATTCATAAACATAAATCATTACTGATTTACTAAGAAGTAAACAGCTCTTAATGCTAACTAATGACTTATATTTCAATCTTTAACTAGAATGGTACTCAGTATCCACCTCGATTTAGATCCGTACCCAAATCTTATCTTGGGTCATGACCCTGCTGTCCGACAAATTTCATGGAAATCTGTGATGTAGTTTTTGCATAATCCCGCTAACTCACAACCAACATAGATAGATAAAACATCACCTCTTTGACGCCTTTTATCTCATTTAATTACTTTGTTTGGAGGATTAATATGATAATCATACTTTAAAGCCTGTTTGCTGCAAGCAAAGAAAAACAACTCTTGAGACTTGGGCTCCAGTTGGTGCTTAAAAACAACAAAGACTCTGTGCATCCTCTAATGTGCAAATTGGTTGCACTCAATCCAAATGAAAACTAAAAAGGTGAAGGCAAGAGAGCTTTTATCATGTCTGAAAGAGGGAGACGCATCTCCAAAACAGATACCTGTTAATTACAAGCTATTATCAAAGCAACCGCTTTTCCTTTTATCTCGCAGCACTTATCATTGCAAACAGAAAGCATTTTTTGATAATTGTGGCTGTTCCAAACATCTCAATCAGAAACTTTTACCAGCCTCCTCTCATAACCACAGCAGTTTGAGTTGTGATACAAAAGAGTAGATTCTTAAAGTTCACAAATACAAATACCTGAACTTTTTCCAGACGTGTGAATAAAATGGGTCTTATGCTGAACATTTTAGTTTCTGTTCTGATAATCCCAGTTGCTTTGCATCAACATAAAAAAGACTTCCCTTCTACAAATTGCAAACATCACCGGTGGTTACGTGATTTGTTTGCATGAGCATAAAGCTCGGCTAATCCAGGCCAGCCTTTACAGGTGAGATAAACGACTTATGAACAAACAAAAAAAAAATCACCTCCACTGTCCAAACTCTGCAGGAACACATGAATGAAATAACGTAGTGAAATTGGACAATGTGTCGCATTCAAAACTCTGAAGCTATGAAAACAACTTTTACAATGCATACAGATATATCGTTCAATTATTGACGCAGTCATTGAGGTGCTGTCTAAATGATATGTATGTTTAAGTGTAGAGCAGATGGCTGATAAAAATCAATTGAGATAAGCCTTTCACCGATTATTTGTATCTGCATTTATG